CCCCGCGGCGCCACCTGCCGGACACGGGCGGGTCCTGGGGATGCAGAGGGGACCTGGAGCACCGGGGTACCGGGAGCCGCGGGGCAGGACCCCGGGATGGGGGAGGGAACGCGGGGAACTGGGAGCTGCGGGGATGCGGTGGGGCCAGGAGCGCGGTGGTCGCCAGGGCACAGGAGGGACCTGGAGACGCAGGGGGGACATGGGGATGCAGGGAGTGACCTGGTGCCTGGACCTAGGTGCCCAGGCAGGGACGGCAGGAGTGAAATGCCAAGCTGTCCCCTGTGCAGCCCCCAGACCCTGCATCTCTTCCTCCCCCTTCCTCCTGGAGAGTTTTCTTTTTTAATAATAGCCCTATAAATATTTGTGCTTCGCGCGGCACCTCAGGTTGCGGCCAAAGGAAAACAGGCTGCGAGGCCAAGGGCAGGGGCGGGTGGAGAATTCCTGTGCCGTGCTGCGCGGCGGGCGCCTTGATCTTCCAGAGAGGGGCCCTCCTGCAATAACACGGCCTCGGTGCAGTCACATTCCCGCCCTGGAGGGGAGCGCCGGATAAGGCCCAGCTGCCTCCCAGAAAGGGTTAAAGGGACAAAGTCAACAGCTCCTTCTGGCCCTGTGAAGCTCCGGGAGAAGCAGGGAGCACAGGGGCCGGAGCAGCGATGCATCGTCACACGCTGCCACTGAGGCAGCCCCCACCGGGCCCACTCAAATGCTCTTGGGCTTACGCATCCCGCTGGGACTGTAGACTTGGTCTCTCTCGCACCATCTCTTCCTCCTCCTCCCTCTCCATATGGGCTCTCCTACACCAGGCATCGCTGGAGAGAAAGGCAACGAACACTCCTCCTGCGCCGCAGTCGGGTGACGCTTCCCGACCCATCGTGCTTTTAAGCAGGGAAGTTATGCTCCATTCACTAATTGCCTCACATTATCAAGTGCAAAACGTTAACGTGCAGCTCTGCAAGGAAGGGGGTGGGCAGCACGGCAGCCTAGTGACATGCTGGGTGAGCACACAGAAGCGGAGGAGGAATTAGTTAAAACAGCTCCAGTGGGGGCGGAGGATGTTTGGAGAAGATAACTGAAGAATGAAAGGGAAAAAGGCCCAAGAACAAAACATCCCCATCCAAACACGAGTCTTGAGGAGTGAGGTGCATCACAACTTGCACTAGGTTCCTCCTGAAAGGGTTCTGGGATGGAGAAGACAGCCCCAACCAAGCTCTGCTCTGCAGTGCGATCCATAGGGACACAGAGGYGGAGGCCCCTGGACACAGGTGGCCTCTGCTCTGAGCTGTCCCTGGGACCGCATTTGGCTGAGCTGGCTGCTTTAGGGAAGATGGAGCTGGTGCTGGGGACTGGTCCTGGAGTCTCCCCTTTTTTTCCCCTCTAGGAGAAGTGGAGCAGGCTGAGGGCTCTCACTCCTCCCAACCACTTTTGCTCCAGCTTTTCTGTGACTGCTGGGRCTCTGGTCACACCCCTTGCTTTTCMCTTGGTCGCCTCACTAGTTCACTCTAAATATTGACCGGACGATACCGAGTTTTCCCCCCAGCAGATTATTACCAAGATTAAAAGCAGTGAAACCCACGTGTCTTTGGAAACTCCTTTGGGTCTTTTGGGTCTAGCAATACCTTGCAATAAAGAGCGTGATTCCACTTGCACAGGGCTGTTCCTGGGGCCGGATGCTGCCCTTATGGCGCGTGCGGAGGCTCGAGCTCTTCACCGAGACGCAGGGGGAGCGGCTGTCAAAGCCGTCGCTAAACGCGAGCGATTCTCAAASGCGCGTACGGGATGATGGAGCTTTGTCACTCAGACTGATGTATGCAAAGAGAAACCAACGCTACGGCGGTGGCTATGGAAACATGCTTTAACTCAGCCAGCCAAGCCCTTGAACAGAAAAATAAAGCCCTCATTTGTATGATAGAAGTAGCTAAGCTATCTGACTAACRGGTCAGTACTTTGGGCTGTTGTTCTACCTTTTCTGCTTTCATTTAGCACCCTGTGGAACACTGAATATCCAAGAGCAGATGAGATTGGGGCTGGGGAAGTTTTGCGGAGCCATCTCCTCCCTCTGCCCCCCAGCCTGGCTCAGAGCTCTGGATGAAGAACAGCTCACAAGAGCTGAATCATATTTTTAAGCAAAAATATTGCTGTTAGGTGACTAAGACTGACCCATTCGTCTTCCTTTGTTTACCRAAGCTGACATAGTTATTAAAAAGCAGCCAGGGCCCTTCCCAGCCCATTGCTCTGTTCTGTGTGCGCTGGCAGAGCCGGCGGAGCAGCGGGCGGCTGCACAGAGCTCTCGCGCTGCTGCCGCACACTGGGGAGCAGGTCGGGCTCCGACACGGCAATAAATCAGAAAACATATTAATAACCCAGGGTCAATAGCAAGTAGACGTGTCAGATTAATCCTGTGAGTCTTTGGGCAGGCAGCCGCCTCGCCGGGAGCAGAGCGAGCAGCCCCAGGGCTGTTCTGCACGGGACTCCCAACGAGTCTCTGCTCCAGCATTATTCCCACACAGACCATTTGCCAAAAATACCCGTCCCGGATTACAGGCACAAAGGATAACGCCCAAAATTCTCTAAGGGCTGGGACAATGTGCGCGGTGCCAGAGGTTTCTGAGGTTGCACGTGCTGCCTGGCAGCCCTCGGCCACCCCCGGAGCCTCCTCATGGTGAGCACCTGCCCATCGCAGCACCCTCACACCAGGCAAATGCCCAAGCTCCAGCATGGAAAAGGCAGGGAGCACAGGCCAAGGCCCTGCACCYGAGAGCCAAGAGGGAAAGGGCAGAGCATGAGAAAACCCAGCGACAAGGGGCACRCATAATAATTTCCCCTTCTCAACAGTGGAATGAGCTTGACGGTTATCACTACTGCTGCTTTGCACCAGTGGGTCTCCAAGGCCCCCAGCACAAGGCCCGTCTGAGCAGCAGCAGCAGGGAAAGGACAGCTTTGCTGGTGTGTTTGACGCGGCTGCAATTTGATCATCCCCAGGGATCGCCTTTCCTCCCCACAGGTAGGTGAGGGRACAGGCAGGGTGTAACTCAAGCCTGCAGCCCCAGACACACACATCACATCCTCGGCTCCAGGCAGGAAAATCTGCTTCCAACCTGAACATCCTCCCACCGGCTGCTCCCCACGTTCCCTATCACCATGCAGGTAAGTGCTTTGCCCCGTTAATGCATCAGAGCAGGGAATGGGACTATGCAAAGAACAGGAGACCAAGCCAGAGGCTGCCCTTCCAAGCCCCGTTTCTGGAGGGACTGAGCGCTGCAGTGAGCGCTCCCAAATCAAGGGTGCAGGAGGACAGTCCCCATGCAGASACTTCAGTTCCGAATGACCTACTCCACTATTGCATGGCACTGGCTTTCCCCTTTACTTCCTAGCCTGTCACGTTCCCYGAAACAAAAATCATCAGAAATTCACTTAATGGGTAGTTAAATCCTCTACAGGTTAGTACAGGTCCTCTGACAAGTCAGTTGAACAGCAACAGGTTAAAAGACATCGAAAAGTTGTTTGAATCCTCAGCCTTTCCACATAGGAATGCATGGTATCGTATTGGRATGTCATCATCTGGGGATCTCACACATATTGTGATCTCTAGCTTTCTAGAATGAAAAASTGGTTGCTCAAAGCCCTCCCTTGATACAGAGACCATGACCTAGAAGTAGAGACTGTCTTGCCTTGATGCGTTTTAAGCTGAGTGGAAACCTTTCTAGTGCAGTAACAAGAGAACTCAAGGTCCTTCACTTCTCTTCCACAGCTGACGTTCTGCAGGCTCCGGACCCATCAGTGGTGCTTCATTCTATTTAATGTCTTGCTTTTCCATGCACTGCTTTTTGGTGCAGATCTACTGGAGGAATACTTCCTACGGTCATTACCTCTTTCTTACACTGACGCAAAGGTTTTTGAAATCAGAGAGAGGGCTAGGAAATTAGATATAGATCTGCTAAAGGCCAATCTCTCTGCATCTTACAGCACTAGCAGCATGGGGGCGTGCTCAGATCAAGAGGTATTTTTGCTAGTTCTTGTCTGCAGTAGCCCAGAAAACGGGACAAGGCGCAACGTGATCAGGCAGACATGGGGCAACGTGACTGACGCCGGAGGTTATCCTGTCCTTACCTTGTTTGCTTTAGGAAAGCCAGCTTCAGTAATCACCCAGCTGGAGATCGATAAAGAGGCTCAAAAGCACAGAGACATTATTGAAGGGAGCTTCATCGACTCGCCCGCGACTCAGACGCAGAAGGTTGTGATGAGCATGGAGTGGACAGTCACTTTCTGTCCCCACGCGAGGTACATTCTTAAAACCGATGAAGAAGTGTTCGTGAGCATCCCGAGCTTGGTTGGGTACTTGCTWAGCTTAGCGCAGCTAGAGGACGTTTACATGGGGAGAGTCATTCGTCACGCAGCACCTGTCAGGGACCCTGCCAGCCCTGGCTTCGTTCCCCTCGGTCAATACGCGGAGGAGTTTTACCCGGATTACTGCAGCGGGGCGGCTTTCGTCGTCTCCCAGGACGTCGCTCGCAAGGTCTACGTGRCTGCCAGGGAAGCGCCGGCTTCAGTGCCCCCGGATATCTTTGTAGGAATCTGTGCAAAAAAAGCTGGCATCGCTCCTATTCACAGCTCTCGGTTTTCTGGGGAAAAGCACATCAGATACAACCGGTGCTGCTATAAATTCATTTTCACCTCTTCCAACATGAAAGAGGATGAGCTATTTAAAGACTGGAGGGAAATAAGTGATGGAAATGATTGCTCGTTACTGGAAACTTATTATGGATTGGTGTCCTGCAAAGTTTTGACCTACTTTGACAAGTTCAAACAGTTTGACATGGATGCAATAAAAAACGAGGCTCTTCATTTTGCTGATTAAAATTTGAGCAAATGAGGCCATCTTTAATTTTACTGAGCAAACACAGTAGAAGAGCTGGTAAGAGCCCTGCATCTTCTCTCACAGTTACCTCTCTTTCCTTTAAAAGCAAAGGGATTCTCCCTACTCTAACCCCTTTCACAGATTAGTTTCTGATAGCAAAAGAACCAGATGTACTCAAGCTATATTAAATATGTTCAACTGCATGCAGAGAAGTAAAGAGTATTCAAAGAAAGTTGGTCTGTAYCCAGTGTTTTCCAGCCATTTAAGTGCTACTGGCTTATGCCAGAGCTACTTCTGCATTTTTGATCCAATTTGCCTAACTGAACCCATCACCTACTTCCACAGCATCTTGTGAGAGGAATTTTTTAATCCTTGGTGAAAAAAAGTTACCTCTTCACAGCCTATCTAGCAAGACTAGAAAACAGTGTAGAAGAGGACACCGCAGTGCCACGGGAATGCGCATAATCAGCCTGCAGAGATTTTGGGAAAGTCCATYTGACCTGTGAGACTGCAGAGAAAAAAGGTGAGCTGGACAACATTAAAGTAGTGATAGAGATACATGGCAAGAGGCACACGTACCTGTCACAGTCCTGCTCTGAATCAGATGCTCAGATGTGTGCTCCAGGAAATCCATGCTTTGAGAACACCAAGTGATGCAGTTTGCTAGCCAGTCAAGCAGTGAAGTCTGTTTTAAAACCAAGCTCTCTTCCTCAAATCCCATTCTCCATCTTTCAGCTGTTTTTCCTCATCTCTGCCTGTCAACCTTAGGCAGGGGAAGAAGCATCTTCTTTGGATACGAGATACACCAGTACCAACATGTAAACTAGGCAGCTCTATAGAGGAGGGGTAGGGAACTATGCAAATAGTAACGGATAGGAGTCATCAATAAATGCATGATTAAGCTTTGAACTCAAAAGAAGAACTAGGCAGGTATAAAAAGAGCCCTTGTTTGGCATCATATTCTGAAATATTTTAATCAGGCAAATGTACCATGCAAAGCAGATGTTTAAGTCTTGGCACACAGAATAACTTTTATAAGCAACAGCTGAAAACACACGAAGAGACTCATAAATTGCAAAAGAGGTTTATRGTGATTTTTTACAGAAATTTTCACACAGGGCTCCTACAGAGCTACCAGCATACAGCACCACTTAAAATAGCAAAGCTGAACAGTCCCAAACAAGTGCAAAATTATCACCTCTTCATTCTTCCCCCTTGTTGCTAAATACTTCTGTATTTTTCTGGATGCAGGATTGATGAAGCTGCTGGTACTCCGTTTACCAACGAGACACTTGGTACTGCCTTTCTCACTAGCAGCTGTTTACTAAGCACAKCGAGGATGAAAGTGTGAGCACTAGTAAAATTTCAGATGACAGATTTTTGTATGTACCAGTAAGAAGGCAATCGAACAGGGCAGCTCACCCACATTCAGAAAGCTCATTGCACATTAACAGCCCTTCCCCACCCACTCAGYTTCTCTGAGCCCCCTTCCATTCCTCAACCGGATATTTTTGGCAGAAAAAAACATCACCTTCATTGCAACCCCAAGCTACTACAAGCAAGAAAAGAGTTACTACAGTCTAGATAATCCCCAGTCACTTGGCAGAGTGAGGACAAAGGCAARTACTTTCAACAGAAGCATGTCTGACCTAACTCAAGGTCATCGTGTGTTATTTCTGTAACCCTGTGTTTTATTGTTTCCTCCAGCTTGACCTCTTTTTGTCTTACATTCTCAATAAGAAGTTTTTGGTATGAAGTACATCATGGTCCTTGCTTACAGATTATCACTTAAGGCTCAGCTAGCCTTACATCCCACCCCTATGTTAGCTGATCATCCCCAGAAGGAGGTACAAAGCCTCATGARGTACTACATTTGTTTCCTCCTCAACTACATTTAAGCCTTTAAACATGAAAGGTTTTTGCTCTTACCCTGTTAATTACAAATCAGGCAACTAAAACTGTGTTTAAATAACACAAAACTAAAAAGTTTCTGATAAAAAATAGTGTAAACAGTTTAAAATTTGGTTCTGAATTAGACTTACAGCACTACAGCTGATGTTCCCCTTGAGCAAGTAGGCCTAACTGCCATATAAAGTAGCAGCTAGCAAGAGAAACAAAGCTCCCAGTTTGGTTTTATACATTAGGAGTCGGCAGTTTTTGTTCAAAAGGGCTAAAAGTTTCCTATTCTCAGCATAAAATGTAAACAATATACAGGATTATTTTATTCAAAGCAAGACTTACAACTAGCAAACTGATAACAAAAGAGAGTCCAGTTTGTTCTTCATGGGAGCACAAACCCTTTAGATGGTTACTAGTTCATTTTTAACARCTACATTTCTGATGGAACATGACTGACTAAACAGAGTATTTTCCATGCAGGTGCCACCTTAGGCAGATACAAGGACAAAAAAGAAGCAATGGCAGCATCTGAGGCAATGAACCTCAAGGTGTTTTTGGTGTTGCTTTTAATTGAAGTATAATCTACTTAAAAACATGATAGGAACTCCAAGCCCAAGAACAGTTTGRCTAAACACTGATAGTTTCTGCACAGTATCACAGAACCTGCAGCTGACACAGTACTTGCCTTGGCTRCTTGTCTCAGGATAGTGCACAAAGAATCTGTGCCATGATACTGAAGCAACACTGCACCCCATAAGTTACAATTTGCACTCGTGACGCTTCAAATTGGGTCAAACACTTCAAGATTCTTTGAAGAGGCAATCTAAAAATGACTCCAGTGAACAAGAAGCTTAACAGCTATTTCAGTAACATAGTTTGCAAGAACTGAGACAGGCGACTGTTGTGACACTACTCCGCTCCTTCCACAGCTGTAGTAGAAACTGCCTTAACATAGTAAGGGCCTTCATGCAAGTAAGCCCTAAGCCTCAAGTAATACTGATTTCCAAAGATTTCTGCAATTGTTTTAGAGTTTACAAGGGCCTTGACCAGTTCGTATTTGGCATCCTTTGAAGCTTTATCAGGTTCCACAGATCTGTCTACAATATATTCCACAAAGCCAGGACTATTAAGCATCAACTTCTGGGCCCACRGTTGGTTTGCAATAGCCTAAATGTGAAAGAAAAACAAAAACWCGTTTTAAAAAACAAAAGTTAGTAACACAGGAAACAGACATCATAACCAAGGAATCAAAATGGAAGAGGGATACTCGTGTTATGCAATAGCAACAGCTAGCACCTGTCCAAGCACAGTGCTGATCACGGGAAATCGAGATTTCAATGCTTCTATATTACATTATAAATGAACTACTAAAGCAGCATATCAAAGTAGTCTCTTAAAAATCCAGGTTGAGAACTGTCCCCTCTTCCCCTCTCCAATTTTACAAGAAAATAAACACTATGTTCCTGACCCATAAGTCAAATTATTCAATCAGCAAGTGCAACTGGGGCACAGAACCTTATTTCAAGCAGAAGCTTGAGACACTGTCCTAATCTCAGACAGTCAGTGGCAACAGAATCCACCACATTGTCTTTAAAAAAGAAGAAACTTACAGTAAACACTCTTAAAGCCCCACAGTGGAGATCAGGAAAGGGCTGAGTACTGATACTCCTGAAGAGCTCCAATGGTTGGCTAGACAAGGATGCAAACCACGATTCAGTCATTCTCAAGAGGTCTTCCGTCTGCTGATCTGGCTACACAAACAAGAGAAGTGCACAGAAATAAAAGAATTCAGTTAGGAATATGACTAGTTCAAGTTTTGAGCATCTGTTCAATGTTTATGGGAGTSTAACTTCCTCAAGCCACCAACAGATTAAACTAAAATGTTTTAAATTTTCAACTTATTTTCATGAATAAGTGGCTTTCTGTATTTCATTAAGCTTGAAGGACAGAACTAATCTGCTTTGGTGGACTACTGTGGAGTTCAGTCTTACAAAATAAGTAGAACTGGCTCAAAACTACACTATCAGAACTAGGTCACTAAAATCAAAACAGTTTACCCCAATCTCTTTTAGAGCACAATATTACACCATTTACTCTGCTTCTCTTGACAATGTTATCTTGATTTCAAGGTTTAGAAACAAACTGTGACCATGTGGCTTTTTACAAGAACACTCAAATGTTTAGAACCTTCAGAAAAATAAATAAATAAAAAGCAAGGAATTTCAAAAGAGTAGAGTTAATTTGGGATACCTAGGAAAAGGCACTTAACTGAAATACTTCAAGACACCTTTATGCCATTATTTAGACGCAAGAATAATTTTGTTCTCAGGTTGAAAAAAACAACACAGACTTACAGGCAAGTAAAGAAGAGAGGAAATGGCATCCAAACATCGAAGTCTTAATTCTGTTGGGGCATTTTTTGCTTGATGTCCTATTTTGTTTAGGAGATTCTGAAACCTACTTCCTTTGAAAATAAAAACAAAGTGCTTTCATTTAGTTTGGACAGATTCCTACAGCAGTAGAAAACTTAGTGACATTATGCTAAATGAGCTAATAAAAGGCAGTTTCTTAACGTGGTTTAATTTATGTCACAGATTACATGATCWTGTAATGACACTTCTGTTATTTTCTCTGCCCTGGTGGGGAGAAGGCTATATTAGTAGGACTACAGGAATCTAAAATTACAGTATCACTGAGAATAGACATGATGCAGCTCACTGGAGAAATAATCAAGTAATGCCTCAATATCAAAATTCTAGTTTCACAACAATATTTCACACTGCCATTCCTGACAAGACAATATAACAGCCAGCAGCTACTCATACAACCATGAGTATGGGAACTAGGAGAAATATATCCTTTACAATTCTTTTTCCTAATATATCATATAAGATCAATCTCATTATGACCTACAGGGAGTATTAATAAAAAGAAATTGATACGAACTAGTTTTCTGCAAAACCTGTTTGCCTTCCACATTCGATCCCAGGATTCCTAGTGTGTCCACAGCGACTCCGATCATGGTGGGATCGTGACTTTCTGCCATTTCAAAGACTTTCTCCACAAATACAGGGTACCGTTCGCAGATCTGCTGGGGGCTGTCCACCACAGCCARATTCCCAAAAAACTTAACGAATCCTGACAAGACAAAAGCAAATATCATGCATTTTCTACTACATAGCGAAAAGGTTAAGTCACTTATTAGACTGTCCCTAAGCTTTTTTGTATATGCCTGGAACACGACGAGTTCTAAATATGCAAAAACTTCCAAGCTTTCAAACCTGAGGCTTAACAGTCCTCTCAATTTAACACATAACAAGTACTAAATAACACAGGAAACAAGAAATGCCTAATTTCACCTGGTAGATAGAAGCCAGAGAAAGGATCAGACTCTGCACCGATGATAATGTTGGAAATTTTGTCAATAACTCCTTGTTGAGCAAGATACTGGCGTCCATGGGCAGTATAAGCCAGTGAGGTTACCATCTCTATACATGTGGCTCTGCAACAAACAAGCATCACATTTGTCCTATTCAGACACATTTCTAGAGTACCTAGACACTAAGAAAAATAGTTTTGCTAATCTTGAAATACAAAATAAACTCATGCATCTGTCCAACATTCCTCCAATTGACTACCTTTAAGAAACAAAGTGCTGATATTGCAGTCTAGCATCATAACTATTGTAGCATACCAAGRAGAGCTTCATTTTCATTCTCAATTTTAAGTAAATAGTATTTTGCATGAAAAAAAATCTAGAAAGAGAAGGGCGTGGGGATGTAGGTGGTTTCCCTTAGAATTCTTTTCAGGGAAAAGACACACAAGAGTTCAATAGAAGGTAATTGAGAGCAAGGAATTGTGTTTTAACAATGTAGGTTATCACATCRGCAAACTCGCTTACTACAAACATACCTGACTAGCACGTCGTCTCCAGTCAACTCTCCAATTAATTCTGATATTAATCCACTGTTTGCACAGTAATTCAGTGAGTCAGCTGACACTGAAGAGATCTCTACAACTAGCTATATAAAAGTCCAGGGAGAAGAAAGAAGTGGTTTGTTAAAAATCATGTTAACACTTCAGTCATATCATATACATGCAARTTAAGTCTATAAAAGTAGGATTTATTGCTTCACAACACATCTAAATATTTGCTAGACTTGCAGCAAATGCTTCTCACTTTAATAAAATAATCACTACTATTTCTATTAAGGTCCAAAGCATCTAAATTATGTTTTTTCCTTTACCATACACACATCATTGTTTCCCCTCCCTCCCAAACTTTCAGTAGGACTTCATATCCCCAGGTAACAAGACTCTAGGAACTTTGGTTTTACTCTCAGAGGGAAAAAAGACATTCTACTATATCTTAAACGTAACTGTGTAGCCTTTACAATACCCCAATCACACTGTAAAAGAGGTAATAAACTGTTTGAGTTCTTCAAGCTTTTGTACCATAAGAGAGAAAGAAAAATAAGATATTAGTTGAGCAGCAACATGACTCTAATCTTCTTGTTCTCTTTTCATCTTGACATAAAAAAAGTCTGCACAGCAGTTAGAAACGCAGGTTCTGACTCCGAACTGCAGTCTAAAAAGTGTTAACAGCCTGGAACCCAAGCACTCACTAACATTTATCCAGTTCTTACCTCATACACTCTATACCGCACAATATCATTTGTTGCCATAACATTCCTTAAGTCACCCAACAAGCTGCTCGCAAACAGAGCCTCCAAGCCCTCCTGCGTCTGCGCGACTCGAGACAGAGATTTGATGGCCTGTAAACAAAAGCAAGGTGCTCATCGTAAGACAAAGAACTCAAGCTAGAGTTAAACCACTCTTTACTAACATATTAATTTGTGATTTTAAGCTACTACTTTAAGCTACATAATTGACACCAGTCTTTCAACCTACACAAACTCTTCTGCTGAGAGAGAGAGGGAGAGAGAGAGAGAGAGAGAGAGAGAGAGAGAGAGAGAGAGAGAGAGAGAGAGAGAGAGAGAGAGAAATCTTCTCTCAAGAGAAACTACTTATCCAGTACCCACCATATACTTTTTCCTATGTTGATTAGTTTGTTAACGAGAAAGAGAAAGGAATGCTTACCTCTTTAGCCACAGCTATCTTCTCTCCACCAATGCAATAGATAACTTGCCGTAATAGTTCAGGACTGTTGATAATTTCTCTAATAGCATCTGAATTTTCAACAATCCTCCCAATCTAAGAACATGATTAATACACTGTTAGTTTAGTAACATTCCTTTATATCCCATTGAAGTGAGAAACAGTCTTTAAAATAAAGGCTTTAAACATAAGACTTTAGCTCTACCTGTCAGTCACTACATCAAGTGCCAAGCTGCATCTTCTCAATGCAAGAAATATCAAGTTACTACAAACAGTCTAGTGCTCTACATTACTCAAAGTATCCCATACAACAAAATCTGTTGCTGTGTTTAATTCCTGTAGCACCTGCTGCCAGCGCTGGCTGGGAAGACTTTGCCCAGAAATGGTGAGAGTCCCCATTACACAGAAGACTTGTTTGCAGGTCACCTCTGGCAAGATACAGTTTTACACAGGATACTTAACAGCCACATATACCCATGTATCATACAAGAGGCATGCAAAGTAGAAGCCCATACAAGCATCACCCGCACAATTTACATTTCGCATGATGCTTTTCTCTTAGTTTAGCACCAAAACAAAACGAAGAGAGAGACAAACAAGAAAGCCAAGCACCCAAAGAGGACCCAGCAGGAGATGAGAGCAGCCGCGGCCGAGCTGGCGGAGAGGCCCTACCTGCGAGACGGCCAGGATTTTCACGGAGTCCTCGGGGTGCAGCAGGCCCTTGTGCAGCTCCTCGCGCAGGTGCCGGACGAGGCGCGGCGGCTCCAGGGCCGGCAGCAGCCGCTCCAGCACGGCCACGCAGGCCGACACCTGCTCCCTGCGAGGCACGGCGAGCCCTGAGGAAGGGGGAGCCTGCCGAGCCCCCCGGCCGCGCCCGCCCCGCTCTGAGGGACCGASAGGGGCGATTTGCGGCGGCAGCAGAGAGCAAGGAGGGGAAAGCACGAGAGGCGGCGCCGCACTCACCGGTCCCCGGCGCTGAGGAGGCCGAAGAGGGCGGCGAGGTGCGCGTGGCGCAGGCGGGGGCGCAGGGCGGCGGGCGGCGCGGCCTGCACGGCGAGGCGCAGGGCGCGCAGCTCCTCGGGCGGCGCCCCGGGCCGGCAGGCGCGCTCCAGCGCGGCCGCCAGCGCCGCCTCGCCCGCCGCCGCCGCCATCTTGCCGCCCCCCCGCCCCGCCGCACCGTAACCACGGGGCTCCTCCCGCCTCCGCGCCGCCGCCAACAAAATGGCGGGCGGGACACGCCCTGCCTCGCTTGGAGCTGCTCTGATTGGACGGGCCGCGCGGGGGAGGCGGGCCCCGCGGCCACGCCCCCCTCCTGGCGGAGCGGGTGGGCGTTTCCCTAAGCCGCCCGTTTCCTCGGGAAAATAAAAGTGGATTTGGGGGCGGATCGGCCCCCGCGGTCACCCCCGCGCGGCCGGCCCCCTGCCCGCCGTAATTTCAGGCCCCGGGAATGCCCCGTGCGTGGGGAATGATCCTTCCCGCTGCGGGGACCCTTCCCGCTGCTGAGCGAGACGCGGCGCCGGGGCTGCCTGATAAAATCAGGGAAAACTGGGATTTGGGGAGGGAACGGTCGAGGTCGGGGGGTGGGTGGCGCTCGCCCCGCGTCCCAAGCTCCCTACTTGTTTCCCGGAGCAGCAGGACACTTGTTTCCCGGCAGATGGGGGGAAGATGCTGGGGAAAGACCCGCGGTGGTACCGGGGTTATCGATCCGGATTGGCAGCGGGGAGGAGCTGCAGTGGTATCGGGGTTATCAGTCCGGATTTGCAGCGGAGAGGAGCTGTGGTGGTACCGAGATTATCGATCCGAATTTTCAGCGGGGAGGAGCTGCGGTGCTACCGGGATTATCAATCCGGATTTGCAGCGGGAAGGAGCTGTGGGTACCGGGATTATCAATCCGGATTTGCAGCGGGCTGTCCCAGGCTCCGGCACCTGCCTCTCCCGGCCGTGCAGGGCGGGCAGGGGCGGGACGGGCCGCGATGCCGGCGAGGAAGAGGAGGAGGAGGAGGAGCAGCGAGCGCGGGCCCGGGCGGCGCGGGCCGGCGGGGCGCGGTGCCGTGAGCGCGGAGCGGCCGGAGCGGCACCATGAGCGCGCCGCCGCCGCCCCGGCTTTGCCCGCCGTGCTCCGCTCGGAGCCGCGGGGTTCGCCCTCGCTTCTGCACCCCCCGGCAAATACAGTTACCCTGGGAACAAAACCCCCATAATCTTCTTCCCTTTTTTCTTTTTCTTTCTTTTTTCTTTTCTTTTTTTTTTTTTTTTTTTTCCTGAAAAACAAATGCAAAAGGTGGGTCACTTTTATTAGCCTTCACTTACTTACCCCCCATGTTCATGGGGCTTTGCCTCGTCATATGTGCGCACATTTTCCAGGAAGCTTAACTGCCATGGCAAACAGGGTGAGTTTTTTTATTACTAATCGTACTATTATTTGTCCTGAGCAGGAAACGTTATTACATTCTAATCTGGAAAGGCAGGTGCACCAGGCTAGCCCTGTTTATAGGTATCTGGGTAACTTCTGTGATTTGTTGCATAATATTTGYTAAACGGCTTAGTCAGGGAAAAAAGGACACCAGAGAAGCTCTGCAAATTGCTGTGAGAAGCCTTGTGACAACGAGGAGCATTTCCTCAAATGGGCCGAAAAGGAAGGAAGGAGACAACCTATATAAAACATCCGTCATTTTCCCAACAGAAGCGTTGCTGTGTTTGTGGTAGGAACTCTTTTAGAGCCTCTTGTGGAGTTCCAAAAGCCCAGGCTGACACGCATTAGGGAATAAATATTTAAAGTGGCTGTATTTATGGCATGTTCTGCAACGGGAACCCGAGGGCTTGCCAGGAACCGGGGCCTGCTGTGCAACAGAACCGACTTGTTGCTGTGCGGGGACAGCGCGCGGTTGTTTTCTGCCCTACACACTCGGGCTTTGTCCATGACGATTTCTGTGTCCAAACAATCACTTAGTAGCTTGGCTTTACTMTTCATAATGGACATTTAGGAGTAAACAAGACCCAAGCTTGCATTTAAGGCTTATCCTTCCTTACCTGCTATGCACTGTTTGTACCTCAGCCTGGACGGACTGTCAAATATTTTTCAGTAGGAGAGAATAATCATCCTGGTTCATCAGGGCTGCATTATAGCAGATCAAGGTCCTTTTTTTCTCCTTATTTTTTTCTGATAAAAATGCAACTGTGGGGGCAAAAAGCAATATATAGATCCATGAAGCTTTTTATTGCCTCTTTTATAATGGAGGCAACTACTGACTTATCTCCTTGTTCTCCGTTCAGAAAACCAGTTGTGGCTGCTGGGGCTTTGCAGTGAGGTCTGTGCGCTCCATTAATTTGTAGTATGACCTCCTGCAAGCTGGTAGAGGCTCTAAAACTGCCCCTTTCCTGCCCTAAGCATTTGCCATGTGTTAAACTGGCTCCATTTCAGAAGAACAAATCCCGCTGTGAGCTTGTTTCTGCTTCAATTACAACTAGCATTACTGTGATGTCAAAAAAGAAAGAAGAATGGAGTCTTCTCTTGAGTCATAAATAAAGCAAATACTTATTTTTACAAAACGCAACATTTCCCCTAACATCAGCGCGCGTATATTTTGCGTTTCAGGCGATGGCTCTGTCATTTCTGATGTACCCAGTGCTGAGAAGTTTGGCTCTTCAAGTGCACTCAGCTGTCACTGGCAGCTACATCTCTGGGACCCACTCTGTCGCCTTCATCAATTGTATCAACGAGCAAATTGCCAAGGATATTGCAAGGTACAGTGGCGCTTCCACTGCTTGTCTGCACAAGTTGTTCCAAAGCCGCTTTTCATGGAATAAACAAAGCCCTTCCTTGCTGCTGTTTTCCTTGCTGCTATTAGAGCAGTTGCCTTTCTCTCATGGCTCATTGCACTTCTGTCCAAACGAGGCTCCTTTGCTCTTAGGATCTGTCTTTCTCTGTCACAATCCACACACCAAGAGCTGCCTTCCGCCGCTGACTCCAAGGTCAGTGCCATGGCACACATCTAGCCAGCTCTCATTCATTCCACTGCCTTCTGTTTTCAAGTCCTGTTTTAGTTATGGCCCTAAGTCTCAGGACCCTCAGGTGGGTTAAGGCCCTTCTCTGCTCTCTCTGATCTGCCATCATCGCTGTTCCTGGATCAACACTGAAAAATTCCGGGAGAAGTGTTTATGGAGAGGCGGGAAGCATGGTGGCACTCTCATAAAAGCAGCAAAGACAAAAGTGGTCCACCAGAAACCAAACCAGGCTGTCGTTAGACACCACCTGGAAGCTTGCACGCAGCTCACCACACATGCCCCAGGGAATGAGAGTTTTGCCTTTATTTATTTTTAGTCTATGAGGAGCTTTGCATGCTGTTTTGCAAGCTATTTTTTTCCACAGATCCCTTGGTCCCTGCCTCAATAGGTGGTTTGTTCAAAGCACTGGAACAGTGTGGACTGAGGAGATGTTTATGGAGGACCATTAAGCTTCCTGCAGCTCCTCCTGTGAGCTGTTCCCCTTGCTGTCGCTGTTTGCCAAAAACTCTCCCTGTCTTCTGCAATAGCAGAGCCTTCCCAAATACCCATCCAGGAACTGAAAGGTGATTTGTGTCATCTTAAATACTGCAACTGTAATAAGAAATTTTAGTTGAAAAACATCTACACCCCTTGACATCTTCTGAAAAAGAAGAAATAACTGTACATTGTTGCTGAAAAGGTCGTTCTGTTCCTGAAAGTGCTTCATCTTAACAGCTTTGCAGGTCTTTTCCTCTGTTTGCTTCTCTCTGTGATAATTAAACAGATCACTCCCTGCACCCCTTGCCATTGCTGGGATGTGTGTCCCTTGGTTGCATTTTACCGATGGGCTAGTTAATSTTGGTTCGGAAATCTGGATGAGTGAACAAGGGTTGCAGCAGCTGACACGGGGCMTCTACATTTATTTTCCTTCCCACCTTTTTCCTAGTGCTCTCATGTTTATTCTGCGTGCTGCTCAGTGGAGCAGTCGCTCCCAAGGCTCAGGCCGCAGGGAATCTCTCTGTGAGCTAAAGGAGCTCAGGCTGTTTGGAAGCTGATTAGCTGCAGGTAAAAACTTGCTCATTTCTGCCAGTTCTAACCCAATTTATCTGGAGTACTATTAGTCTAAAATCCTCAGGAGAAACCTCGAGTCCACAGAAATATAGTTTCTCCCCTGTGTTTGCTATGAGCAGTTGAGCCTTTTGGGTTGGGCACTGTGACCATTCGCATCTCACAAGACTTAGTTTAACACCTGAACAGTCCTCAAGCCTCTGGCTGTGCCTTATATTTGCGCATATATTTTTCTATTTCTCTACTTATTAATATTTCATGTTTCAATTCAGAGGCTATTTTTTAGTGATGCATGAACAAAGAAACACCCATTAAATGCCCAGCCCAAAGATATCATGTATAATGCAGATGTTTTCCACCGACCGTGTTTATTTTCTTGCCATGTTTCCAGTTCCCATGGTGGCTGGCTCTTTGTCACGGCTCCCAAGGACAGAGTTCAAGGTATCAGTTAGGATCTCAGTTTATTAGGTCAGGGCCAAAGCAACTGGAAGGTACTCGCCCAAACCTAAAAGGCTCCTGTGCTGCAGGAGGGCTTGCGAGCTGCACACAGCAACAGCAAAGTGATCTGTGCCACGTGTTTTACGTGATAAACGCAGCGGGGATATCTGCATTCCTGCTGCTGCAGTTTGCTGCTATAAAGATTAACTCCAGATGCTTTATGAGCATTAAGTGACTAGCGCTGGCTACGCACGATCCGAGCAAACTGTCCCGGCGCCTCCTTGGAAAGTCATCTTCTGAGGGGCGCGTTCCGCGAGCCATTGGCCGAGATAAGGACAAACTGCCTCCTTGGTGAGCTTAAACATTAAACCCGGGCCTGAGAGCGAGCGGGTCCGTGCAGAGGCTGTGCCGTGTCCCTTCCCCGGGGCGTTTCTGGGTGCTGTGTGGGTTAGGAGGGCTCTGCTGCGAGTTTAACCCTCCCGGCCGCTTTCTTACGTGCTGCTGGTGCCCGTTGTGCTCATCTGCAGTCACATCGCGGGCAGTGACCAAGTCTGCTGTGCTTTTACAGTTCCTAGCTTTGTCTTGYTGAAAAGTAAGAGATTCTTGCAGCTTGTTTTATAATTACTTCCAGTCTGCATAATAACTTGGATATAAGGATGGTAGATATTTAACTTCCTTGGAGACATAAGGATTCGGCRGACAGTTTGGATTGGAGTGGTAGCTAACTGAATACAAATATCAGAACAGATTTATTTCTTCAGCCTACTAAGGATTAATCTTAGCAGGCGGTTGCACTGAGCCTTTCAGCAGCTAATAACCTGCTGCCCTGCTGCAGTTCAAGGTCATCCTCTTTGACCAAGGCGTGATGGCTGCAGGTTGAGTCTTGGCTCTGTCAGAGCACTCAGTGCTCAGCAGCGCCCGGAGGGGCTGGGGTTAAAGAGGAACAAGGGCGAGGTTGCTAGAGCACTGTCTCTAAAAGCACCCTTAGTGCCTGCCAGAGAGGCTGTTGCCTCTGCCAGCAGTGCCCAGGCCTCCCTGTGGTCAGAAAACACAACATTTCACCTAGTTCTTCTCAAAACCCTCCCTGAAATTGCTTCAGTCYTCTTTCCTCAGTTAAATATCACTTCTGCTGGCAGAGGCCAGCAGCTCTGCAGTAACGAATGAGTCCCCAAGCAAAGGAGGAAGCCTGAGGGTCAGAATTTATTCGAGTTTCAGATTTCTAAGATGTTTTCTGTAGGAAAACCTTAATGCTGTTATTTTAACAAGCTCCATGTATAGTTTGCTTTGTGAGGAAGAGTGTCGGTTTGACAGTGTAAATACAGCTGAGACACGGACCCCTTGGTGCTCATCCCAGCCCCGGTTCCTGATTACTCAGCAGCTCCACAACTGCCCCATCCACAGGGATGAAGCGGGGGCTGCAGGGACCCCCGCGGGTCCCYGTTGGCAGGGACCGATCCCTGCAGTCGGAGGCAGCCGGGGCTACGTCCCCGGGCACCGAGCGGGCGGCAGCCACTAATTCACCCTCTGTTTCATGCAGGGCCATCATGGATAAGAAGCTGGCTGCCTGCGTGAACATCCTGCCCAAGACGTCCACGCTGTGAGTTGTGCGGAACGTCCCTGGGAAGCAGGGACGAGGGGCAGGGCCTCTGCAGGGCTCTGCTCGACCTTGGGGACAGCAGAGATGATCCTCGCCCTCGCGAAGTGCCCTAAGCTCATTACAGGAGGGCAGATGCTCTATCTGCCAGTCAGGACCATTTGTTTATCAATTCCTTAGATACAGAGATCTAGTGAAGCGCAGAGTGACTTATAACCCTGGGGATAAGGCAACTGTTTTTAGAGGATTTGAACAGAAGCTCAAATAGGGACCCGAAAAGGCTTTTGCAATATTAAAGAGCACTGTCTGCCGGGTATCTTTGGCCATCCACGCAAAGGGACTGGATTTAGTTTAGGGGGAAGGAAGTTCGAAAACAGCTCTTAAAATTACCCAGAAATGTTTGAGCAGCCCTCGCRGAACAGGAACCCCCCTCGCTCGCACCTAGCAGCGCTCCTGGCCTGGCCTTGCAGGGAGAACGGAGCGCCCCGGCTCCCTGCATTGCAGCGCCCTCGCCCAGCCGAGGCTGCAGGAACAGGGCTCCCACTCCCGCATCCCCTGCACGCCAGCACATGGATGCAATCGCCACGGCTTCCTGACAAAGATGAGCCAGACACGACCTTCTGACACCCTCAGGAAGTAAATCTCCATTGCAGGGAAAGGGAGAAATAAAAATGTGGTGTTAGGTGCAGCCTCCCACCCTTGCCGAGCTGCTGTCCCTGCAGGTGCCCAGCCTTGGTCCCGTCATTCCCTGCAGGTCCCTCACGCCTGGCATGGCCAAGCAGGCTCTGCTCTGTAATGTATACTGATGTTAGGTAAAATGTTGAATATTGTAGTTATATTTGCTGCTATTCTTTCTTTTTTTATTATTATTTTCTTTTTAAATCTAGGTATTTTTGGAAGGGTGAAATAGAAGAATCCACAGAGATATTGCTAGTAAGTGTGCAGCACAGCATTTCACCCCACCTCTGTGGTCAGTGTGGGAGAGCCCTGGAGCCCAAGGCCCTGGGGATGTGACATGGGCCAGCTGGAGATCGGGGCTGGTGCCCAGGGCCCCTCCGCAGCCACCCGCAGGAGCCGCTGCCCTGTCCCGAGGGAGCCGCCAGGCACCAGCGCTGACGTGACAGACGGGTGGGATTGTGCATGCAGGATTGCTCCTTGCCTTGCTCCTGCTTCGTTTCTCCTCTCTCTCTCTCTTTTTCTTTCTTTCTTTTTTTTTTTTTTTTTTTTTTAATATTATTATTATTTTTGCTTTCTCCAGCTAGTGAAAACAAGGACATCGAAGATAAGTGAATTGTCCAGCTACGTCAGGTGAGGTTCTTGCTCGGGTTTCCTCTCATGTTGCTATCTCATGCTCGGGCAGGTGTGAATGAGGCTTCTTGATCACGATGCCTACCCATAGGGTTTTTAAGTGCACCAGTAAGGCAAAAAAACAGCTTTAGCTCAAGACAGGTTGGAATGAATATCAGCTACTGGGCTTCTCAGCTTAAATGAGCTCTTGGTGTTATGAAGGAGGAAGGATTCTTCTGTTATAATTCTATGGGTTTTTCCCTAACTGCCTCCTGGCAGGATCTCCTGCATCTTCCCAAGCACTGAGGGTTGAGCACAGGCAGTTTTGGGCCGCAGGCTCCTGGCAATCGGCTGCTTGCTCTAGTAAGCCCCAAACTCCAAGGAAAATCCTCACGTGGCAGCAAGATGATGCGAGTGCTTTGAAGGCAGCGGGAGCTTGGGGCAAGGCTGATACGCACGGCTGGGAGCGGCGGCCTTGGTCCTTTCCGCAGGGACCGATCGGTGACACTTACTGCGCATCTGCTTCCACCTCAGATCCATCCATCCCTTTGAAATTCCTGAAATCATCAGCCTGCCCATTGACCAGGGAAACCCGCTCTACTTCAAGTGGCTGGAAGAAAGCATGGCAAGGGAATGAGAYGCTCGGAAGGACTTGGCTTTCGGGGAGGCCGCAGGAGTCCTGCCGTGCCGCGCACGTCCCTGCCTGCGCGGGCAGGACACGCGCAAGGAGGCACCATCCAGCCCCACGGGTTGGTGGCGGCAAAGACACTTGGGGCTGGCAGTTCCACTGGGACTTGAAGCCCCTCTGCCCGTTGCGGCACCCTGTGGACACGCGGGAGCAGGGAGYGCGGCGGCCGGAGCGCCGGCGCCCACCGAGCTTGTTGCAGCGCCGCRGGCTGTGCGGGCGCCCGGCCGGGACCTGGCGGCTCCGCGCTGATCCGGCGCCCCTGGCGAGCGGGAGCTGTGGGTTGGCGACGTCCCCGCGTYGCCCGGCCGCACCGCACCGCTCGCTTTCCACCCAGGCCACCCGGGCCTTGCAAAACGGTGCCCGCGCTAATAGTGTAACTTGTGAAATGACGTTGAGTTATTTATGGGGTGGGCAAGCTAATAAACAGGACCTTTTCCTACCTGTGCCGCCCCTGGAGTTGTCACAGCCGCGAGCACCGTCACAGACCTTCGTGCACGGAGGCAGCCTCAGCACTGCTGCCCTCAGCCCGCAGGCAGGTTCAGGGGCAAATTTGGGGGTGGGAAGGGCAGAATCCTGCGTTTCTACCAGCAACGTTGCTCCCAGAGGGCAGCAAAATCATCAGAGCTAAATGGGGAGCAGCAGGATCCCAGGTGGGAGCAGCGAGCACACACAGCGAGCGCAGCAGCTTCATCACACCCGAAACGCAGCTTTATTTATCCCCGGCCGGGGCTGCCTTGTGCCAYGTGAGGTTTAAAATTAAATGGGTGGGGAGCAAGAGGGAATTTTTTTCAGTGTGGTTGTTCTCCATTTAGCGCTGACTAAAATAGAGCATTTGAGGGCACAAGGACAGGAACACTTCTTTGGAAAAGGCAGCAGCCTCGGCACGTGGGAAGCCTGTTCTCCCGGCTTGGAAAGAGCCGTTCTGGAAAGAATGGAGCCATTCCCATGTCAAGAGCCCTTGACACGACCTGCCTGCAAGGTCCCCACCGCAACTGGCAGCAGAGCAGATCCTGCCCGCTGCAAACGGAGCAGATCCCGGCTCCGGCTCCAGCCCCTCGCTCACACTCAGCACTGCACTATTTACCTGGCTGCTAGAAAGAGCTGGTGCTGTTAAAAAAAAAAAAAAAAAAAGACTTTTTAATTGTATGTCAGACATACTAATTACAACTTGGATATAACAAAAGTCGGTTATTACAAGCAGCAATTTGAAATTATCTTTAGAAGGTGCACAGGATCTTTATAATATCTTATCAGGAGTAATGCAAAATATATTCTGGAACAAAAATATYTTTCAAGGCTGCCCGTCCAGCCCCAGGGCAGCGCGGGGCTGTGCGGGGCCGGTGACGTCCCCATGCCCTGCGGCAGCAACCGAGGGCTCTGTAGGCACTGGTGAAAGGCTGAAACTGGAAGGGGCCCTTGGGAGACACAGCAAAGCAGAGGGACGTGCAAAATCCGTGCAACCGTCCCGCTCACAGCGGGATGCCCYGGCAGCGGCTTCGCCTGCGCTCGGGGACGGGCCCCAACACTGAGGATGGGGAACCCCGCCGAGCAGCCGGGCCATTCGGCACAGGGGCAATAAAGGGTGAAGGAACGGTCGGTCCCTGTGCTGCGTCACCCCCGCGGCCCGTGTGCGGCCCCGCTCCTCACCACCCTGTTTGGGGCTCCGCTCTGCTGCACCGCAGAAAATTGCATTCCGTTTTTCAATAAAACACGTTTTCCAAACTGTCCCCAGCTGCCAGAAAGCCGGTCCGTGAAACCCTCCAGCGACAGCGGGCAGGAGGAGGCAGGAGAGCGGCACCGCGCGGGGCGCCCGGCCACAGACGAGGAGGACGATATTAAATATATATATATATCTTAAAAGAAAATAATCTAATGTGTGATGCTATTAGAGTTTGCAAACAGTCTGCGCTTCGCTTGTTAAGGTGTTCTGCTCCACCCTGCCTTGCACCCGGGCACCAYGTCCATCGGCACAGGAGCCGCAGGAGCCGGCGCTCCCTGTTCGGCCTCCGGGATGCAGCCTCCGGGAGGCTCGAGGAGCGAAGCCCCCGTGCCCAGCGCCGGGCACAGCCCCGGGCAGCTCCGCGGGGAGAAGGCAGTGAGGTGACGCTGGCTGGATGCCAGGACAGGAACACTCGTTAAAAAAAGAAATGCAAGAGAATAGTCAAAACTAAAAGCCTGCGAGGTTCAAGGCGGCACCAGGAGTGCGGCTGGGTGCTGCCTCGGGCTGCGTCCAGCGCAGGTGCTCCTTCCTCCTGCTCCGGCTGCTGCTCTTCGTGCCAAGGCTGGCGGTGGCGCGGGCAGCCACGAGCTCAGAAGGGGGTTGTTCCCTCCCACTCCACCAGGTACTGCACCCTGCCCTCGGGCGTCACGCGCCGCGCCAGCACCTGGTACTTCTCGCCGCACACGAGCCGCCCGGCCGCCCCGAAGTAGCTGCTGATGGACGACTTGAGGTGGGAGAGCGAGGAGTCGTCCTCGCTGATGCTCTCGAACGTGTGACTGTCGATGCCGCCGTCGGGGCCGCCCGCAGCCGCCTCGCCGCCCTCGGCGGGGGTCCCGGCGGGCGGGCGCCCCCCGTGCTGGCCGCCCGCCCGCCTGGCGCTCGCCGGCGCGTGTCCCGGCACCGGCAGCTTCCGCTTGCGGCTGCCCACGGTCCTGCGGCGCACGACACGGGGCTGGTGACGGGCACGGCAGCCGGCGCCGCCCGGTCCCCCGCCGCCCTCCCTACCTGGACTCGTAGGAGAGGCTGGTGGAGGCCGAGCCCGAGGTGCTGCCCGCGTCCGTGGAGTCCACGTCTGACAGGAAGGTCTGTCCCGAGCTGGCGCTGCCAAGGACACAACAGGTCAAGCCCARGGGTGCGTCCAGCTCCATGTCCCCGTATTTTCCTGCCCTTTGCACCCCAGCTGCGCCATGAGCGTTACCTTCTCAAGCTCTGGATCTCGTCAAGCGTGAAGTCGAAGATGCTGGCGAGGTGGTGGTTCGTGCTCCAGGCGGACGTGAAGTCGCTCTGCGCCACAAGACACAGGCTGCASCATGGAGCCGCCGGGCACCGCYGGGCACCGGCCGCCGGGGCAGCGCAGGGACTCACGCTGGGAATGGCGTCTTCCAGCAGGAACTTGGCCCGTCTCCTCCGCGCCGCTCGCTGCTTCTGCTGCTGCAGCTCGCGGGGCCGCTGCCTGCGGGCGCACGGGGTGCTGAAGGGACGAGCTGCCCGGCAAGCAATGCCCACGGCACAGACAGGAGCGCCGGCACCCCGGGGGTGGAGSGAAGAGGGGGCCCCTTTGGCCACTGACCCGCTTGTATGGATGTATTTGCCCTTCCCTCTTTTCTTCAGCTCGCAGGAGCGGCTCTCGGCCGGGCCCGGCGCCCGCTCCGGCAGCACCTTGGTGGGGGGGTTCGGCGGGACGCGGATGCGCAGGCGGAAGATGCATTTCTTCTTCTTGATCTCCTTCCCGCACAAAAACCTGAGCGGCGGCAGCGAGAGGAGAGCGTCCCTGCGCCGCCCAGCTCCCCGTCCCACGGCRGCGCCGGCCCCGTCCGGCCCCACTCACCTGCTCTTGTAGCTGTTGAGGGCGTTGAGGAGGTGGGCGCCGCGCTCGGGCGGCGGGGTGCCCGTGAGCTGCACAGACACCGAGAGCGCCCGCGCTGTTCAGCGGCCCGACGCAGGGGGGACCCCCAGCACCGCCTTCCCGCTCCCGACGCCGGCCATAAAGCCGGGAAAATAAAGCACGGGAAAAGCCGGGAAAGCGGCGCTGGAGACGCCGGCTGCTCGTGCTCCCTGCAAGCACCGACCGCGCTGCTCGGCGGGAAGCGCCCCCGCACGGTGCCGCCACCGCTGCAAAAATCACCAGCTCTAACAGCAGGGCAAAGGACACATCCGTGTGACAGGGTGCCTGGAGCACCCGGCGGGATTTCTCTGTGGGACCCCCGGCCGCAGCACCCCCGCCTTGCCCTGCATTTACCTTTCCGAGCTGCAAAGGGTCCCAGTGGTGGTTGACAAAGGCCAGGATTTCCTCGAAGTCGAAGTACTTCTTCTTGCTCTGCACGCCCAGGTTGTAGAGGGCCAGGTGCACGACGTCGACCCTGTGGCAGCACACGGAGCCGCGGGTCAGCCTCCCTCCTGCTGCCAGGAGGAGGCCGGGATGCGACCGCCGCGACAGCCGGGACGCGCGCACAGAATCCCTGTCCTGAGAAGCAGGTGCCCCCAGACACATCTCAAACAGAAAGTGTTGGGAACAGCGAGTTTTGGGTTTGCAAYGCCCATTTCACAGTTACCTTCCAGCCAACATGTACCTGGGCTCCGGGGCAGCACGGCAGCTTTGGAGCTTAGAAAGAAACAGCAGCCGAGGCCAGGGGCAGCCACGGGCCGAGCACGGGCACCCACTGTCACCCCGGGGCCCCTTCTTACCACCGCAGCGGCAGCCGCTTGATGTACTCGGGTCCCTGGTTGCACACGGAGCAGAAGAACACGTAGAACCTGGGAAGGGGCAGGGATGAGGAGCAGGCGGGAAGGGCGATGGGACGGGGCGGCTGCGGGGATGCCCAAACCGAGCCCCGTGTGCGTGACCACCCCGCTCCGGGACACCCGCGGGCACATTCGAGCTGGGAGGCACGCACCGGTCCCCAAACATCATGGGCTCGCTGAGGCACTGGGTGCAGGCTTCGTGGAACCACTGCTGGCAGCGGTAGCACTGCAGCATCTTCAGGTACCACCTGGGAGGAAGAGGAGGAGGAGGAGGAGGTGGTGGAGGCCGGGCCGAGCGTGCCGAGGGGCAGTGAACGGGGCCTGCAGAGCGTGGGGCCGTACTCGCCGGGGCCGCCGCAGTAGCAGTAGCACTGCTGCTGGTTGGTGCGGTGCGGCGAGTCCCACTCGAGCAGCTGCGGGTCGTAGGACAGCACCATCTTGACGGCCTGCAGCGTCCTGGCGATGGCTCCCTTCTTCAGGGCACCCCCCTTCTGCAGGAGCCGAGTAGGGGGGTCAGCAGGGCCCCGTCCCACACTGCCCACTCTTCCCATGAGGAGTGGGAGACCCCCCAGGCACCCCGCTCCCAAGATCGTCCCTCTTGTGGGAACACCCAAAGCGTCGCCCCGTCCCAGCCAGTTGCTCACCCGCACGGCCAGGGCGAAGATGCAGCGGCGGCAGAACCACGGCGTCCCCAGCGGGCCCTGGCTGCTGCCGGCCACGGGCACGTGGCACTGCTGGTGGTAGCCTGGGAGAGGGGCCGCGTGAGCAGCCCCGGGCGCGCTGGGCCGCACGCCCGCCGGYTCCTGCTCACCTAGCCCGCACTTGCCGCAGATGAGGATGTCGTTGGCCGGCGCTGACGTCTTCCCCAGGCAGATGCTGCACTTGGGCTCCTCGCCGGGGACGCCGGCTGCGGGCAAAGGGAGACATGGTGTCAGAGCCGTGCGCGGTGCAGCCTGCAGGTTCCCAGCCTCCAGGATTCCAAGCACCATCCCCTGGCTCCCACCACCGGCACGAAGCCTCCAGGCCAGAGGCGAGGGGGACCCGCGGGATGCAGCAGCGCTCACCATGCTGGATGTCCTTCCAGAGCACCCAGTACTTGGAGTTGTCCTCGAAGGTCACCAGGCAGCTCTGCTTGGWGCTGCTCACCTGCGGGGACGCAGCGCTGCAGCCAGGGCGCCTCGGCATCCCGCACCCCGGGCACACACGAGGCCGGAGCGGCGCCCGCCGTGGGCTCCCAGCCGCTCCGCGCGCCGCTTTACCCGCTTGATCTTGCCCAGGTAGTAGAGGCCGTCGGTCCAGCGGCACAGCACGTACTGCCCCTCCGAGAGCCGCGRCGCCGCGTCGCGGCCGGCCCTGCGCACGGACATCACGCTGCCCACGCAGGGGCTCCGCTGCCCGCGCCCCACCGGCCTGGGCTGCCCTGCGGGGACGGGTGCGTGTCACCTGCACGTGCACACACCGATGGGCACAGGTGCGTGTCACCCATGCACACGCTGCCAGGGACAGGCACGTGTCACCCGCGCACACCCAGCCCGGGACCGCCAGGCTCGAGGGCTCCCCTTGCTGGGGCTCCCTGCGCTGTCACCAGCCCCGTCGCCGAGCGGAGCAGGAGGGACCCGAATGTCGCATCCCGCCCCGCAGCGCTGCGGCGGCCACCGCGGGCACCGGGGCCGGCACCGAGCCGGGGCCGAGCTCGGCACGCGGGGCGCGGGGCACCCGCGGGAGCGCGGAACGAAAAGGGGAGAAAAAGGGGAGGAAAAGGGAAGGAAAGGGGAAGGAAAAGGGGGAGGAAAAGGGGGAGGAAA